AACCTTTCCGTGCCCTTTTATTGCCATACCAATTCCTTTCTACTCTTACCCATCCTATCCTTTGACAGTCACTCATCTGCTCTCCATTTCTATAATTTTGTTACTTCAAGGCTATTATATACATGGAATTGTGTAGCATGTAACCTTTTTTTTTTTTTTTTAGAAAGCAGGATTTATTGAGAGGACAGAAAAACTCCCACAGTGCAATAGGGATGGGACCCGAGGGGGTTGCCCTCATATAACCTTTTGAGATTGTCCTTTTTCTTCGCTCATCATAATTCTCTGGATATTTATCTATATTGTTGTGTGTGTATCAGTGCTTTGTTTCTGTTTACTGCTGAGTAATATTCCATATTACAGATGTACCAGTTTTATTTAACCATTTGCCCATTGCGGGAGGGACATCTAGTTTGTTTCCAGTTTTAGGTTACTGGGAATAATGCTTTTATGAACATCTGTGTACAATTTTTTGAGTGAACATAAATCTTTATTTCTCTGACATAATTGTCCAGATGTGCATTTACTAGTCTTATAAAATTTGCATATTTAGTTTCTTAAGAAACTGCAAAACTATTTTCCAGAGTGACTGTACTCTTGCATTACCACTGGTGATATATGAGTAGTCCAGTTTTTCCACATCCTCACCAATATTTGGTGTTTTCATTATTTTTAATTTTAACCATTCTGAGAGATTTGTTGTAATAACTCATTGTGATTGGAATTTGAGTTTATCTGATGACTCCTGATGTTGAACGTCTTTTCATGTAATTATTACTATCTATCTTCTTGAGTAAAATTGGTGTCTTTATCTCTTACCCAGGTTCTAATTGGATTATGTGCTTTTTTTTTTTAATGTTGGATTTTGTGAATTCTTTATGTATTCTAGATACTAGCCCTTTGTTGGATATGAGGTTTGCACATATTTTTGTCTAGTTTGTAGCTTGTCTTTTTTTTCCTCATAGTGGGTTCTTTTACAGAGTAAAATATGTTGATTTTTATGAAGCTTAACTTTTATAATTTTCCTTTTATAGATCATGCTTCTGGTGTTATATTTAACGACTCTTGTTTAGCTTTAGATATGAAAGATTTTCTCCTAAGCTTTAAAAAATGAATTATAATTCACATACCATTATATTTACCTCTTTAAAGTGTACAATTCAGTGATATTATAATGTTGTGCAACCATTACTATCTAGTTTCAAAAACATTTCATCATCTTAGATGGGAACCCTGTACCCATTAAGTCTCCTACCCTCAGCCCTTGGCAACCACTAATCTGCTTTCTGTCTCTATAGATTTACCTATTCCGGACATTTTATACAAATAGAACAAAAATATGTGGCCCTTTGTGTGTGGCTTCTTTCACTCATGATCTTTCCAAGGTTTGTCCATGTTGTGCATGAATCAGTTCTCTAGTCTTTTTATGACTGGATAATATTCCAATACGTGGATATATCATATTTTATTTATCTATTAATCAGTTGATGGATTGTTTCTAGTTTTTGACTATTATAAAATGCTGCCATGTACATTCTTGTACAGGGTTTTTTGTGGATGTATTTTTCAACTCTGTTGGGTGTATGCTGAAGAGTGGAATTGCTGGGTCATGTGGTAGCCCTATGTTTGGTCATTTGTGGACTGTCAAACTGTTTTTTCCAAAGGAGCTGCACATTTACTTTTCCACCAGCAATGTATTGAGGATTCTAATTTCCCTACATCCTTGTTCTCTTTATTCTTTTTTTTTAAAGTTTCATGGTTTTACATTTAAGTTTATGATCCATTTCGAGTTAATTCTTAAATAAGGTATAAGATTTTAGTAGTTTCTTTAAAAAAAGCAAAAAACCTGTGACTGTCTAAATTTCTCCAGCACCATTTGTTAAAAAGACTATCTTCTTCCATTGAATTGCCTTTGTACCTTTGTCAAAAATCAGTTGAGCATATTTGTGTGGGTCTGTTTCTTGGTTCTCCTCTTTGTTCCATTGATCTGTGTGTCTATCTCCGCCAATACCACAGTCTTGATTACTGTAGCTAACTAAGAAGTCTTACAGGCTTGTAAACAGATGCTGCCTACTTTCTTCTTCTTTTCCAAAATTATTTTAGCTACTCTGGATCTTTTGCCTCTCCATATGCATTTTAGAATAATCTTGTGTCCAGGTATACACAATCCTGATGAGACACAGGGAGGAATTGCATTAAAACTGCATATCACTTTGGGAAGAGTTTATATCCTTGTGCTGGAGACAGCAGGCTTTTGTTGAGGTTTTCTTTTGTCTGTGCCATTGATGTTTCTGGATTGCTGGCATCTGCAGCTCTAAGTCTGGGATAAGACTTAGGCAGGAAGAAAACCCAGAGAAATCTCCACCATGTCATTTCTTAGGTCTTGTGGTCCCTAGCTGTTTACCATCTCTTCTCCACCTTTTGGAGTCTTCTAATACTTGTTTTCTATATTATATCCAGAGTTTCAAGTTATACTCAGCAGAGATAGGCAAAAGTATGACTCCTCCATCTTCCGCATCTTCCTGGGAACTTCTACTTCCCAGAAGTAGAAGTTGCATCTTCCTTCTTTAAGTTAACAGTAGATACTGGAGATCATTTCACATTAGTATATAAGTTGTATACTTCATCTTTTGTTTAAATTATTGCATTATATATCATTTTATGAATGTACCATACATTTTTTTAACCCATAGACAGTGCTTCAGCAAATAATTTCGTCTAGCCAAAAGGTAACTTCCTAGGAGTCGAATTGCTGGGTCACACGGGATGTGCATTTTACATTTTGTTAATGGCAAATGGCCTTCTGTACAGGTTGTCAATTGGAATCACCCTGAATGTTGTCTTTATAGGCAGAACTACTGATCATGTGAGACCATTAGAGCCAGACGCCTGAAAAAGAATAGTTTGTAGACAAGATCTCAGTATGCAACTCTGGTGGTATCTGTATGGGACCTTCCAGGATTTCTTGAACAATTTTTCACATACAGTTGTACAAAATATAAAGAAAATATTTAGAGATTTTTGGGTAGTTGCTACATAGAGTATGTTTGATGTCAGTTCTTATAATACTTCATTCTACTTAAGTAAACATATTTTCTTCCCAAGATTTCTCTAAGGACGTTAAATTCTTATTTGAGTCTGAGTTATACTCTGTGGCCGATGATGTATACAATTAAGCAGTTTCTCTTAATTTAATGGACCATTCAAATTCACAGACATTTCTTTTGATTTGAATAAGTTGTTCACTAGTTTATTGTTATGATTCCCAGCTCAGGGCTCTCCAAGGAATTTTTTTCCCTTTTTGATTAAATCAACAAGAGTGATGGATAAGTTCTTAATTTTATTATTTTGAATGCAGCCTCACTGTATATATGTAATGGATGCAGTGTCCATATTGATGTGTATATCAGTAGTTTATTCAATTTTTACTGCTATGTAGTATTTCATCATATGAATAGACCAGAATTTGTTTATCCATTCTTCTGTAAAATGGGTTGCTTCCAGCTTTAGATTCTTATGAATAGGACTGCTGTGTACATTTTTGTACATACTGTTTGGTAGACATATCTTGCTATTTCTTTCAATATCTTTATTGAGGATTTTTGTTTTTTTTTGAGTTGGAGTCTCACTCTGTTGCCCAGACTGGAGTGCAGTGGCCGCTCCTGGCCACCGCAGCCTCAACCTGCTGGGCTCTGGCGATCCTTCCGCCTCAGCCTTCTAAGTAGCTGGAATTACAGGCACGCACTACCACGCCTAGCTAATTTTTTTTTGATTTATTGTAGAGATGAGGTCTCACCAACTTGCCCAGGTGGATCTCGAACCCGCGGGCTCAGGCAGTCCACTCACCTCAGCCTCCCAAGGCATGGGACTATAGGCTGAGCCACCGAGCCAGGCGAGAATTGTTTTAATCTTACAAAATTATCTCCTGAATTTATATCTTACCTTGTTTACTATCTCATATTTACCTTTTCTTGAGTTGGTAATATCTTAAAGTTTATTTGAGTTTGAAGGCTTTGCTTTATGACCAAAGTGATTTTAGATCATGAACATAGTCATGACAAAGTAACAAGAAATATTTGTTATATATTTGATGGAGGTATATATTAAGTTAGTTGTGATATGTGACCCTTTATTTGCATAGAGTTCTGTTGGAATGTCCTATTCCTCAAAGTTGATATTTGACCCTCTCTCAGACTAGTACTTGGACAGAAGGTAACCACAATTTTCAATTCCATTGACCTCAACTCACATTCCTAATCTTTGGAGTCCTCCCCAGCATTTCCAGCAAAGCTGTCACCAGCAGAGCTGTCACTACTGCCTCTTCCATTTGGCCCTTTTGGTACTGCTATCCTGTCTTTATAGTCTAACAAAGGGAAGACCATTTGCCACATTTGTTATAATGGCTACCAACAGTATGATGTATACATGTATGTATTATGGTATATATGTACATGTGAGTATCTTTTTTTAAAATGGAGTCATATGCAGTTAATTATAGTTAATAATGGGAATTGTTTTTCTTTAGTTAATTTATGCACTATAATTTGGGAACTTTTTTCAGTGACTAAGATTTTCTTTCCTCATTAGCTGTCAGAGTTGATACTTTAAAATATCTGAATGGTAACATCATAAAAGACTGTGGTTTACTGTGGGTAACTGAGACCATGGAAAATGAAAGTACGGATAAGGAGGGACTACTATATTAATAAACAGATTTTCTTTTACTATATCACTTGGTTTAAATCATGGTTAATTAGTATGCTTTTTGAATTAAAATAATATTCCTGGATTCTATTTTGTCATAATCTGAGACACGTAATAATACCTTTCCCTCTTTCCCTAACCATGGAAAAAAGCTACCAAGCATCATTTACATATAATTAATTCAGTACAATTTTTAAAAATGGTCTTTTCCTTGTGTTTAAAATATAAAAATTGTCCTATTTCTTTCTTTCTGTCCTCAAAAATCCACTGTGGGTGATATCGTTTTTGCTGATACACAGCTTTATCAGGTATGACTCTCTTAAGTGTCATGTTGGGCTGACTCTATAAATGTGTTGTTGAACTTTTCAAAGGAAAAACTTCTACACTGACTCTTTTACATTTACTTGATCAGTGCTTATGAGTATTTTATGAACATTACTAGGTTTTAAGGTTTAGAGTGGTTTTTGTATCACAAACAAATTACATTCATATTTAAAAAGGATTTTGGAGTGCTTTCTTTAAATATATTTTTGTTTGTCGATGTCTCTGGCTTTCTGCATTTTAAATCTGTGTTTAATTCTGTGTGTTTTTTGGTTTCTAAATGTTTGTATACACATCTGTGTTATTCTTAACATATATATGTTTTTAATAGATACATATTCCTAACCAGAACATTCCTAATCATGATACATATTCTTAACTTTTTTCAAACTGTGTTCCATGAAATATATTAATCTAAGATGCTAAGTGAAGTGGTAAAAAGTTATCAAATAAATTTACGATGTTTCTCCTTAAGAGGTTTACAGTACATGTTAGCATATTAAAGGTTCTGGTTTCATGCAGTAAAGAAATTGTTTATCTTTGTTATCTCAACATCTGCTAGAAATATTTGATTATGGAACACTTCATAATATATAGGGGTATTCTGGGTATACTGATTTGGGATATGCTGCAGAAAACTGAGTAACATTTTCTTTGTAGGCAATAAAATCGACTCCAAGTGATTAAATTTTTAAGAGGTTAAAACGTTTAGCAGGGCTGGACATGATGGTTCAAGCCTGTAATCCCAGTACTTTGGGAGGCTGAGGTGAGGGAATTGCCTGAACCCACGGGTTCAAGAACAGCCCGGGCAACTTGGTGAGACCTCATTTCTACAATAGATCAAAAAATTAGCCAGGCGTGGTAGTGCGCTCCTGGAGTTCCGACTACTTGGAAGGCTGAGATGGAAGGATCGCCTGAGTCCAGCAGGTCGATGCTGGGGTGGCCGTGAGTGTGTCACGGGCACTCCAGCCTGGACATCGGGGTGAGACTCCAACTCAAACAAACAAACCAACAAACAAAAACATTTAGCTGAATTGTATTTTGAGAGTTTATTTTCTTATAGAAATCACATTTTGAAATACAGCATTGATTTTTTTCCCCTCTGTGATATTATCTCTTTCAGTACTTTTGATGGTCTTTAAGAAGAATTTACAAAATTGTAAAAATTCTGCTTTTTGTTAGAAAGAGGGTTTTGTTTTGTTTTGTTGGTTACTGTCATTGTTTTCTTGATTGTTTCTCTTTTAATTTGCTTTTATCTTAAAAAAAAAACCCATGTTTACTGTTTCAGATAGCGTGACACAGGAAAGGAGGCCTCCAAAACTTGCCTTTATGCCTAGAGGTGTTGGGGACAAAGGTTCATCCACTCATAATAAACCAAAGGCTGCAGGTATGGATTAACAGGACACAATCCTTAGTAATTTACATGATATCTGATTTGTCATAGTATTATAAAAGGTTATAGGCTATTACGTCTTAACATACAAATTATTATTTTTTCTTTCAAATGTGTTTAGTAGTTAAACTAAAACTTTTATATAAATGTTCTTGCTTAAGCCAAGGGTTCCAAACCCTTTTTACCAGATGAAAAGTTTCCCATGAGGATCTGTGTGTTTTGCTGGTCTATACTAGGCTGGTTTTTGTCTCCTTACATTTGTATTTATGGTTTAGAATTGCAACTATATAAAGTAATCATATATGGATAATGTTATATAGGGTAAAGTATACTAGAGATTAATTGTATGGATTTTGCTAGCTAGATGTGGCACAAATTAAATTCTAAGCTGCTAAGCAAAAATTTTTGTCTTTCTTCCAGAAGCTTCCTCACAATACATGTGGGTTCATAGCTCTTTTTTTGTTAGCTTCTACATACTTCATAGATTTATAGAAGGATTGTTTACACGTTTTAAATGGCTCATTTAAAATATTGTAAGAATTTTTGTTAACTCATATGTGAATTAGGAGAAGAATATTTTTTCCTCAATTATTATAGTTTCTGCTCGTATAAAGGAACTTTTTTGTACTTCAAGAGTTATTTTATATGGCATTGGGCTCTGAGAGATTTAGGATTAATTTCAGGATATATAAGTAATAGTATTTTTTAATGTCAACCTGTAGATCAGTATAGGATAACTCAAACTTGCTACTTTCATTTATATAGTAATGGCCTAGGATTTTCTTAAGACATGGCATGTTAGTTGTGTTTGAGCACACTAATTAGTTAAAGATATAAAGTGTAGAGCTACCTGCTTTAAATGGAAAAAAAATCAACTTTTGTATAGGTTCTGGAGACCCTACTGCACCCCACTGTGGCATGTCCCCTAGTTAATACTGAGGCAGGGTAGAGTCTTGAAATGACTGTGGCACAGCTACTCTAACTCTTTCACATTTAATAAAGCCAGCAAATCAGAAACAACATATCAGTACTTTACCTTTTCAAATATATAAGGAAATAAAACAAGGAGTTCAATGATCAACAATTCCAAAATTGTTAAATTTTAACTCTTTTAAAACTTGATTTGTGCATTGATTTGTATTCAGCATTTGACAATGACCTTCTTCTGAAATCTTCTGTTTTACAATAATAGGTTAAATTTGTGAACCAATGAGTTCATCAAAGTTGAGTAATGATGATTTTGACAGTTAGAGATAAGCTCTAGTACATAGAATAATTTGCTGAAGCAGTTAAATGAGTGAGCTTTTCTTTTACTTACTCCTTGTTCCCCTCCTGTATTGACTTTTGTGCTGAAGAATGCTTTCAAAATTGCTAAAATGGATACCAACTTTTTAAAAACTGAAGAAAAAAATAGTGTCTGTGTATATCTGTTAGTTGTAAAGTCATTAACACCATATTTATATTAATTCATTTTATTTTTAAAAAGCTTTGACACTATATTGACTTTATGTTTTTTTTTTTTACTTTTAAATTTTTTATTTTAAAGGCGTGGGGTACAATTCAGGGTTAGGTATACAAATGTTCATTATGCAGGTACCCTTGTTGATGGGGTGTGCCCCTCCCCCTCCCCTGACAGTTTCCCTCAACTGCCAATCCCATACCCCTCCCTGCCCCCCCGGCAGTTTCCCACTACTGCCAATCCCTTTCTTATAGTATTATGATAATTATTCAAGGTCTGCTTATGAGTGAGAACATATGGTACTCTGTTCTTTGTTTCTATGATAGATCGCTGAGTATGATGAACTCTAAATCCATCCAAGTTGCTGCAAAGTTCATATGTTTGTCTTTCTTTATGGCTGCATAACATTTCATTGTGTATGTGTGACTTTATTTTTAAAAGAAACTTTTCTTGTTCCCTAGGATCTACCTCAGACCCTGGAAATAGAAACAGATCTGAATTATTTTATACCTTAAATGGGTCTTCGGTTGACTCACAGCCACAATCCAAATCAAAAAATACATGGTACAGTGATGAAGGTAATCTATAATTTTAGTGTTCTTTATAATGATCCCCTCTTTTTAACTCAACAGAGAAAAATGGCTTTTTCACCAATATTTTCAGTTTTTGGAAACAGAATGAGTAGACCATTTCTATAATATTGCCAAATTAAAATATTGTCCACAATTTGAACTGCACTGCTGTTAAGATTTTTAAAATATTTAAAGATGTATTAGTAGCTTCTCTTAACTAATCTGTTTAGGGCAGAAGATCTCTAGAATCAACTGAATCATTTACATACTTTTCTGTCTGGGTCTCTCTTTAAAGTATTCCCTTTCTAAAAATTCTATCTTCTCTTAGTTCTGGGGTATCACTTTCTTCTAGTTTATTCTTTTTCTTTGTTCACTTGTTTAACAAATATTTATTGGGTGTTTCCTATGTGTCAGGCATTCTTCTAGGCACTGAGATAACAATGATGAGGAAAAATAGACATGGTCCTTGCACTATTTAAGTTTACAGTTGTTAAATTGTTAAGATAGAAATTAATCGAACAATCACAGAAATAGACATGGGATTGCCTTGGTGATAAGTGCAGTGAAAGTGCAGGATGCTGTGAGAACATATGAAAGAGGGTTTTACTTAGGAATGTTTCTCTAGGGAAGCGACATAATGCTTAGGTTTACCAGATGAGTGGCAGGTAACAAAGTGGAAGGGGACAGAAGAAACTTTTAGGCAGAGGGAATGGCACATGTAAAGGCCTTGTAGAAGAAAGGAACCTGGTGTTTGCCAAGGGCTAGAACAGAGTGTGTGTGTGGGGGGTGGCTCATTTATGAGATGAGAAAGGCCAAAAGGGCCAGGCCATGTGGAGCCTGTTGTGCCCTATTCAGAGGAAATGGGGAGCTGCTGAAGGATAGTCAACAGGGGGTGGCATGACCAAGTTTGCATTTTAGAAAGCTCATTCTGGCTCCAAGTCACACCGTGTGTTGAAGCAGACCCTGTGTAAATGCAAGGACACCATTGACAGCTATTTTAGGGCCCAGGAGGAGATTATAGTAGCAGGGACTAGACTTGGGGAAAAGAAGAGTGGATAGATATTAGAGATATTTAGGAGATGTATTCTGACAGGACTTATATATAGATTGAATATGAGAGTCGAGGAAGAAATATGTCAGTGGTGACTCGGTTTTCTGGCTTGCATATTTAGATGGTGGTGGAGGAAGGTGATGGATTTGATTTTGAATATGTTGAGTTGGAGGGTTTTTTTTTTGAGTTGGAGTCTCACTCTGTCACCCAGACTGGAGTGCAGTGGCATGCTCCTGGCCACCGCTGCCTTGACCTGCTGGGCTCTAGCAATCCTTCTGCCTCAGCCTTCCAAGAGGAACTACAGGCGCATGCTATCACATCCAGCTAATTTTTTGATATATTGTAGAGACGAGTTCTTGCCAAGTTGCCTGGGCAGGTCTCAAACCTGCGGGCTCAGGCAATACACTTGCCTCGGCCTCCCAAAGTGCTGGGATTATAGGCCGAGCCACCGAGTCCGGCCTGGAGGGGCTTTTTAAACTTCCTACAGATAATTTGTCAAGTATGCAGTTAGATGTACAAATCAAGCTTAGAAGAGAGGTAAAAGCTGGAGAAATAAATTTGTAGGTTGGCTTCACCCATGTGATGATTGAAGACCTGTGAATAATATTGCCAAAGGACAGAGTGGGGATGGAGGGCATGGATTAAAACTGAACTTGAGGGCCTTAATGGCTGGAGTGGGAGGAAATAAGTTGTCAAAGGAATCAGACAGGAAGTGACCAGAGGGATGTGAGGAAAGTCAAGAGACCATTATTGGGTCAAGAAACCAAGGAGCAAGTAGACAGCAGTACTGAATGATCTTGAGAGGGCAGGTGCCATGATGACCACACAACACCCACTGGGTTTAACCACCTAGAAGTCGCTGATGACCTTAGTGAGTTCAGTTGTAGAAGAATGTCATCAGAAGCCAGCTTAGAGTATGCAGAGGGTGTGGAGTGAGGAAGTGGAGATGTGAGTCCAGAGCTGCCTAAAATGGAAGTTTAGGTTTCTTCCTGGGCATCCTGTCTCTCTCATGAGTCACATCCAGTAGTCACCAAGTCCTCTGGGTTTCCTCCTCTTCAATGTCACTAGAATCTCCCTGCATCTTCATTTGTGCAGCCCTGGCCTTAGTTCAGAGCCTTTGCTTGTCTCTGCCTGCATTAATATTATGACCTTCTAATTGGTTTGTCTGCCTCAGTCTTGTTCTTTTTAAATTTATTCTGAACATCATCATTGTCATTATTGTCGTCGTTGCCACCATTATCGTCACTGCAGCTACCATTTCTGGACCACTTACTATAACGCCATGCATTGTGCTAAGCACTTTTCCACATTATTTTACTTTATCCTCATAACTTTGTGAGGTGGATGTTTTTGTGTACTCTTTTGTTACAGTGGTTAAATAACTTGTGCAAGGTCACAGACCCAGTAATAGAGAAACCAGTACTCCAACCTGGATCTATTTGACACAGCTCTCATGCTTTTTATGCTTTTCCTTACATTCCTATTTTTCTGCAGATACATCTGCTCATGTCCCTTCTTGCTTAATGCCCACTAATGTTTCCCTAACCCTTGAAGACACAGATCTGAGTTCCTTCTTTTGGCATGTTGGACTCTTGATGGTGTAACCTCTTCCCCATCCCTGGCATTTCCCCTGCCCCCATGGCTCCGGCTGTGTTGTACTTGGACTGTTCTTGGGATGTGCTGTGCTTCCTCCTCCTGTGCATATTGCTCCTGCCGCCTGGAAATCCTTCCTCCTGTTCCTCCACCTTCCTGGTCTGGCTCACTTCTAGTTGTCTCTGAAATCTCAGCATATCAGTTTATCCAGAAGTCTTTACTTTCTTCTGCCACTCTCCTAGGTTAGGCTAAGTGTCATTCTAACTGCCTTGTGTACTTGCTTATCTCCTCTGCTGGACTGTGAGTTCCTAGTGCTCAGCATAGCTTGACATATAGTAGACTTAACTATGTACAAACCAAGCAGAAATAAGAATGTAAGAGAATGTAGAATCTATGATGACTAGCTACCACATGGATTCAGCTCTATTATAGGCTGAAACACATCTGCCAAAGTAACAGCAAATTCTGCTCTTATGTAAATTGGGGTTAGGTACTCATGTGGGAAATGCCTTGAATGAGAGATTTTTGATCTTGTCTCTGAGACATGCCTTCTTTTCTGCTCTGGGTAGCGCATGTGGAGATAGATGGTCAGGGACTTTAATCCCTAAATTCCTTCTAGCCACAGAGCAGGAAGCTTATTTGAATAATGCTTCCCTTGGAGTTGTCTTCTCATAAACTACTTTTGTTAAGATTTGTCCTGTATGTTAGCAGTTATCAGCTCTGTAAAATTCTGGAGAGTTCCAAAACATCAAGGGCCTGGGTGCTTTGGTGACTCAACAAAAGAATGGCTACAGCCTCCAGATGTCACATGGCCTGTCCAGGGTAGTTATGGTACAGCCCTGCTCTCTTGCCCTGATCTTACTGGCGAATTTGCTAATGCTTTTCCTACATGGTGATTTCTTGCTAAGGAAACTAGTAAAAGCATGGTTTTCCGTAATCTAGGTAATGACAGTTCTTCTAGTTTATGCTATAATTTTATTGTTCTTTTTCTTAATACAGATTCTGTATTGTATCAAATATCCTAACTTCTTCATTCTACTAGAATCCTGTCTAGTGTTGTATAATAATTTCAGGAAGGGATATTGATCCTAAAAGACCTATATGGAACACACAAAGTAATGAAATATGAATGGAGTAGGTCTTTATCCTTACATTAGAAAATAGAGGTAATTTAGTTGTAAAAGAACATTGTGTCTGTAGATAATTTCACTTATACATTTAAAAAGCTTTACAACATTTGATTCATTTACTCACTTTTTTTTTTTTTTAAAGCAAGTGTTTTACAAGTATTTTCTTGTGTGCTTTGGATTAAACCATGGAAAAGACTAACACAATTGCTGTTCTTATGAAGCTTCTATTCTAGTTTTGTAGTTTGTATGGTAGACAAAACAGACAAGGTGATAGTCAATTGTGATGTGCAAGCAGTGAAGGAAATGAAAAGGTAGTAGCAACTGAAACACATCCACCAGTGTAACAGCACATTCTGCTCTTACATAAATTGGGGCTAGATACTCATGTGGGAAATGACTTGAATGAGTGATTTTTCATCTTCAAGGCATGCCTTCTTTTCTGCTTTGGGTACTAAGTGTGGTCTGGAAAAGACTCTGTGAGGAGAGGATATTTGGATGAGATCTGGATGGTGAGAATGAATGAACCTGCCAGAGAAAGAGGTTGGCAAGAGCATTCTAGGCAGAAGAAGTAGGAAGGCCAAGGATCTGAGATGAGAAAAAGGATTTGAGAAACAGAAAGCAGGCCAGAGTGGCTACAGCATAGCAAGCAGGGAAAAGAGGTGTATAAAATGAATTTGGAAGTTTATAGGGTCCAGACTCTCCAGGACCTTGTAGGTCTGTGAAAATGTAGTGCTTATGGGAACACTGGAAAGCCATTAGAAGGTTTTAAGCTAGGGAATGATATTACGATTGTGTAAGATCTTTACATTTTAAGATTTCACTAGTTACATGACAGATAGGATGGAGAGAGCAAGAATGGGGAGAGAGACCCATGAAAGGGCTGATTATAGGTAAAAGCTTATGGTGGCTTTGATTAAGGAAATGATGGCAAAGATTCATAGAAATGGGGGAGCTTCAGATAGACCAACAGAACTTGCTTTATGGATTCAGGTGTTCGACCTGGGGGATTGAGGGTTTGGGAAAGGAAAGAATAATTTTTTAAAATTTTAGATTAAATATTAGTGTTAAGGAATCTCAAGTGAATAAAGTATAAAGAACAATACGTATAAAGTGCAATGAACACCCAAGTAGTTTCTACTCACTCAAGGCCATTGTCATCACCTTTGAAACTCCCTGGGTGCCTCTTCCTAGTTTCTTTCTCTTCACTGTCTCCTCTGAGCTATAATAAAAGCAAAGGAATGTTTTATCATTCCTTTGCTTTTATTATAGTTTTATCACATAAGTTTGCATAGATAAACTGTATATACTTAGTTCTTCATGTTTTTAAGCTTTATATACAAGGAATCAGATATGTGTTATTGCATAATATCCTCCCTCAACACTGTGTTCCTAATATTCTTCCAGGTTGTAGTATGTGCTAGTAATTTATTCATTTTCATTGTTGTATACATTCGATTGTATGAGCATACTGCAATTTAAGAATCCATTTGACTTTTTGTGGCTATTTGAATTATTTTTATTTTCTTGCTATTATTAACATCTCTACTATTAACATTATTGCACATGCCTAGGGTATATAACTATGAGTGGTATTACTGAGTAATGGGCTATGCACATATTTCCTATACTAAATAATGCCAAATGGTTTACCAAAGTAGTTGTACTAATTTACAAACTGTCTTAGTCCATTTGGGCTACTAAAAAGAATACCATATACTGGGGTGGCTCCTAAACAACAGAAACTTGCTTCTCACAGTTTTGGAGGTTGGGAAGTCAAGATCAAAGTGCCTGAAGGTTTGGTGCCTGCTGAGGGCTTTTCCCTGGTTCATAGACAGCTGTCTTTTTGCTGTGTCCTCATATGGAGAAGGGGCCAGAGAGTTCTCTGTTGCCCCTTTTATAGGGGCACTAATCCCATTCATGAGGGTTCTTCCCTTAAGACCCAATCACCTCCCAAAACCCTCATCTCCGAATACCCTCACGTTGAGGATTAAATTTCAACACAGGAATTTGTGGGGGCACAAACATGCAGCCTAGAGCATATGCTCATAAGCATCATATCAGGGTATCAGTTTCCCTTCATTCTTTCCAACCATTAATGTCCTAAGACTTCGACTTTTGAAATGATATCTCAAGTTGGTTTTGGCTTTCATTGATCTATTTACTAGTGAGGGCAAGAATCTTCATTAATTTGTTAGTGATTTAGTTTCTCCTGTGAATTGCCTTTTCAAGTCTTTTGTCTATTTTTTTCTAGTTTTCTTCTGTCTTTTTCATATTGATTTATCAACTTTTTTTCAAATTCAAATCCTTTGTTAGCTATATGTATTGCAAGTAATTTCTTCTTGTTTGTGATTTCCCTCTTTCCCTTTATTAAACTCTTGCTATGATCCCTTTTAATGGACAAGTTCTTAGTTTTAATGTGGTCATATTTATCAATCTTTTTTTTATGGTTTGTGTGGTTATATTTAAGAAGTTTCTCTTTATCTTGAAGTCATAAAGAACATTCTCTATTGTCTTCCAAAGGTTTGAGGTTTTGCCTGCCACATTTTTTAAAGCCACCTGGACATGATTTTTGTGTAGAGTATAAATAGGATTCTAGTTTAATTTTTAAAAAAACCATATGGATGACTGATCATTTCAAAACTATTTACCAAGAAACTCATTCTTTTCCCACTGGTCTGCAGTGTCTACCTGTCAAGTGTATTAGTCATTTAAGGAAATGACTTTTGACTATGGTTCTCTTGACTTTATATTTGTTTTCTCTTCAATTATATTCTGTTTTTATGTTTATTCTGGCATTGAGCTTCTTTACTACATGTTTGTTTTCTCTTACTATTCTTTCTATTCTTTTTATTATTCCCTACTTGGGGGTGGGGTATTAGTCTATTCTTCTAACTGCCCAAGTTGTATACCGAGTTCATATTTAGCTTTTCTTTTTTAAAAAATAGGCTATTGTCTATATGTTTTCTTTATAAGTTTTAATTTAGCTGTGTTCCTCAAATGTTCATTCTTTATTTCTTTTTCTCTTCTCTCATCCTGCTCTCCTTTTTTTTATTTTTAAAACTTACATATTTTTATTCATTAGTTATTTATGTTCATGTTTCTTAAGTTTTTTGGTATCTTTTTGGACTGATTTCTAATTTAGTTATTTTGTGGACAAAGAATATATAACCTATATGACACCAATCAATAATAGATTTTTTTTGTTTGAACAATGGGGTGCTGTTTATTCAGGCAGAAAATCGTAGAGATGGGCGGGGAGGCAAGAGCACTGTTTGGAGATATTAAATGTGCAGTGCCTGTGAGAATCCTAGTGGAGAGGTCGTGTGGGCAGTTGAACTAAATCTGTGATTTGACTTTTAGAGCTGTAAGACATATTTAATATTCTTGAATACATTTCTCTAATGAGGAACAATTTTTTATAGTTGCAGATGACCCTGCCAAGTCTCTCACAGAGATATCTTCAGACTTTGGCCATTCTTCACCACCGCTGCAGCCTCCTTCTGTGAACTCACTGTCCAGTGAGAACAGATTTCACTCTTTACCTTTCAGTCTGACAAAGATGCCCAACACCAATGGAAGTATCGGCCACAGTCCGCTTTCTCTGTCAGCCCAGTCTGTGTTGGGAGAGCTGAACAATGCACCTGTCCAGGAGAGTCCTCCCTTGGCCATGTCTTCTGGTAACTCACATGGTCTAGAAGTGGGCTCCTTGGCTGAGGTGAAAGAGAACCCTCCTTTCTATGGGGTAATCCGTTGGATTGGTCAGCCACCCGGACTCAATGAAGTACTAGCTGGACTGGAACTGGTAATTTAATTGGACCTAGAAATTATAGTTCTTTTCTATATGGGGTCTTGTGCAGATTTTCCCCTATTATGTATTTTTGGCAAACGGTTATATTTATTTTAAAAAGCCATCACTAGAGAAGAATTTTCTTACCATGTTGCTTGACTTCCCCTTGTCACCTATGAAGCTTCTGACCCACTTATTTCTAATGTTAGTTGATCTATGTTCAAGGAAAGAAAATTGACTTTTCGGCTAATATATTTATACTCCTTATAAAAAACAGAATTGAGTAAGGAAAGCAAATCTGCTATCAGCTATTCTTTTTCTTCTTCTTTCCCCCAATCAGTTCCATTAGTTATATTATTGGCTTTAAAATTAACTACCATTTTTAGAGGTCTTCAGTAGAAGGAAAGATATTCCCTTTGGAGATTAGGAAAACATTGTTTGGCCAGGCTCGGTGGCTCAGCCTGTAATCCCAGCACTTTGGGAGGCCGAGGTGAGTGGATTGCCTGGGCCCACAGGTTCGAGACCCACCTGGGCAACTTGATGAGACCTCATCTCTACAATAAATCAAAAATTAGCCAGGCATGGTAGCGCGCGCCTGTAGTTCCAGCTACTTGGAAGGCTGAGGCAGAAGGATCGCCGGAGCCCAGCAGGTTGAGGCTGCAGTGGCCGGGAGCGGCCACTGTACTCTAGTCTGGGTGACAGAGTGAGACTCCAACTCAAAAAAAAAAAAAAAAAAAGGGAAACATTGTTTGACATTTCATAATCAGGAGTGGAGAAGTTGAGTACATTTAGCTTTTATTTCAACATATTTCTTATTTTGTAAAAAAAAATTGTTGGCATTCTAATGAACACTAATATATTTGGGGGGGGTGACAGTGGTTAAAATAAATAGACTTCTCCTTCCCCCCAGTTATAAACCTTGTGGAAATGATGCAGCCAGGTCAGTTAACCAGGGGAAGTTTAAACACGTATTCTGAAAGAGAATACATTGAGGACTTCATGCTGGATTAAGGAAATCATTCTTAAATTATTCACTGTGGGCTGAAACTCTGATTAGTCAACTCATTTTTTTAATGTAGCTCTTAGTACAGGTGTGAAGAGGGAATTCTGAGAAAGGGTATGCTAGAAACAGTCTTAGAAACCTTAGCTCTTTGTACCCTGTCTTTGCAAAGCACGGCATAATGCATATGGAAGCATTTCTTTTTTAGGAAGATGAATGTGCAGGCTGCACTGATGGAACCTTTCGGGGCACTCGGTACTTCACCTGTGCCCTGAAGAAGGCACTGTTTGTGAAACTGAAGAGCTGCAGACCTGACTCCAGGTTTGCGTCACTGCAGCCAGTCTCCAATCAGATTGAACGCTGTAACTCTTTAGGTATTTGCATGCTTTTCACTTATTTACCAACCTAGAATGATTCTGATTCTACTCTCATGCCATTTTGCATTAGGTGGCAGTGACAGTGTTTAAATATTTTTCTTGCCAATACTCATCAAGTTTTGAAATCAGTAAAAATTGTTACTTGGTGTATAAGAAAGTTAGTTATCTTAAAAGTGGACATTTAAAAAAGTCATTAGTCAGAAAAAGTGGGCCCTAAAGAGTGAGAAATAGTGATATATATTTTTCTCTTCCTGTTGATGACAGATGTGTAATTTTCAGCAATACAGGAGGTGGAAATTGAAACGTGGTCTTCTTTTTGGCACTGACTTCTCCTTCAATGCAGTGTTTAAGTACAGCAGTAAGCATATTTTACCCGGAAATCAGCGTCAATTTAAGAAGTGGTTTTAGATTGGTTGATGGAGGTCAGCTCTTCTCATCTCTTGTGATAGGTGGCAGTGTCCTGACAGTCCCTTTCCAGTTTTGGATAATAGTGGTGAAGCAGCTTGAGGCTCAGCAGGTGTAAATTGGAAGCCATCTTCAGGAAAAACATTTTTTGCTATGTTGAAATAGTACTTAGGATTGTTTGTTTTCTTTTCAAACTTGAAAATGAAGCTTCCTTGGGTAAATAATAAAATATTTGGGAAACAAAATATTTTATAGACAGATGCTTTTTATGTATTACTTAATACTCTAAAGTGTTTTTCAAGTTGTGAAGGAAATGAGGTTGGAAATGAACAATAGCAAATTTCACAAGCTCAACTGAATAACAGTTAACCAAAGCCTACCTTTAACTCTAGGTTGAGAAACAAAATTTGCATCAAAATATCAAAACATTTTAAAATGAAGAAATATATATGGGAATACATACTGTAATAATTCAAATTCACTTTTTAAAAATCTTTTCAGCATTTGGAGGCTACTTAAGTGAAGTAGTAGAAGAAAATACTCCACCAAAAATGGAAAAAGAAGGTTTGGAGATTATGATTGGAAAGAAGAAAGGCATCCAGGGTCATTACAATTCTTGTTACTTAGACTCAACTTTATTCTGGTAAGTTTAAAATTAATGCAATAGGCAGAGATATGTCTTGGGGGCAGGGACATATATGTGTGTATGAGTTGTGTGTGTGTGTGTGTGTGTGTGTGTGTGTGAGAGAGAGAGAGAGAGAGAGAGAGAGAGAGAGAGAGAGACAGAGAGAGAGTAAGCGTGCGCGAGAGAGAGTGAGAGAGCGAGAGAGAAACTGCCACCTGCCTCTGAATAGAGAAACTGGATAATGAGGGGTCAGGAAAGAGAGAGATTTGCTCTTCGTTATATACTCCTTGGAAGCTTTTGAGTATTGTCTCATGTTCCTATATCCAAAAAAATCATATAAAAAGACATGCAGTGAATAATGAGTAAGAGGTTAATAATATTGTTTCAGGTGAAACAGATACACTGAGAGTATCTGGGAAGTCTTTGTGCACATAGCAGATAACATAATTTGCAGTAAACCATTGGCTGATACGTGCTGTATTTGTTTTAGTTGGTAAAGGCAATCATAAAGCTCCTTTATTTTTTAAAATCATTTTCAGTAGAAGCACTGTTGCCCTTATGTATGTAGTTTTTTTCCAAAGTGGAACAACTTAAATGGCAACAATTTTTAGGTTCTGAAGATTGAACCAAGAGTCCCTAGGCTCTGAGGATTGTATGCTGAAATTGCACATGAACTGTAGCCTGTTGGCTCTATACAGCCATGTGGTTAGAACTGGGAACTTAATATGGGATGTTAACATTTTACAGTAGGGGGAAGAATACAAGTATGGGCCATTTTGTTGGCAGAATATTTTTAGTCTCTCACCTGTAATGAAAAAGCAAGCCTTATAACATTGATATAATATTCCTTAGATTTCCTGACAAAAATCTTTATTAGCCTAATCTTCTTTTTCTTTGATGCCAGCAAACTACTGCTGTTAGTCATTTATAAATAATTTTAGCATTTAAAGAAATCTAGTTCTTTGCGAAGGGATGTGAGGAGATAGAAGTATGATACTGAATAGTGTTTTTGCCTTGCCAAGTAGTTTCCAGACTTCCTTCTCTGTTGTCCATTTGTAATTTGACTCAGAAATGTAGGCCCTCCTTCAACTTTTACAAAGAAGTTCTCCTTCTAAATATTCTGTAGGCATATTTTTATCCTTGAGCACTGTCAGTGTGTAGTTTGCCTTCTCAGTGTTAGTATTCTCCTTAACCTGGGAATCTCCAGGTCCTAATGATTGTACCATGGGAATCTTCATAGGGGTCTTGAGTAACTGTGTTAATGAAAAATATGATATTTGTTCTCTGGACTTTGCTTTTTCTCCTCTTCTGATTCTTTTTAGTGTGTATTTCTTGAAAAATATTTATAGCATGAAGATAAATATTCTTTTTATTTTGCAGCTTATTTGCTTTTAGTTCTGTTCTGGACACTGTGTTACTTAGACCCAAAGAAAAGAATGACGTAGAGTATTATAGTGAAACTCAAGAGCTGCTGAGGACAGAAATTGTTAATCCTCTGAGAATGTAAGTAGAAGATCTGTAGTTATTTTGCCTTTCCATGGAGTCCTCTTTGCTGTTTTCTGGTACAGTAATTAATTTATACCCTGCTTACATATATTAAGGAATGGGTGAAAATTAGCTCTCTTGGTGAACTGTTAAATTTTTAAATCTGTGGTACTGTACTTTCTTTGCTTATTTAATTTCTTAAATCTGGCCGAGGTATAGAACCTAATATATTCCGTGAAATGATATAAACCATTTTGATAGAGTATACTACAATTTAGCAATTGCAGTAGGTTTAGAAAAGCTGATGTGTAGTATGTGGGATTCTTATCTTTTGAAATAGTTTATTCCAACACTACCCCTAATGGCAATTATGCTTTTTAGTCAAATTGGTATAGCCTGGCTTCTTAAGCTTAATTTTATCTGAAAGAAAAGGAGCAGGAAACATTTTTTGTTTATAGACTAGCTAGTATATAACACTGTTGTGCTAGCAACAGATGAGATGTATTTTAGTCACATGTTTCTTGGTTAAAAAAGGAATATATTTAAGCCTCCCTCTGCCTGCCTTGAAAAGGTGATTCTTTTTTCCATTTCCTAGTTTAGAAATTATAAATATCTTTTTTTGGCCCCAGGGAGTGATTTGTAATGGTACAAGCACAAGTGACAGGAGATGTCTAGTAAAGACTTTTGATAAGTGGTAGTAGTGATGTGTGATAATGTCACATTATAAAAGTTAAACTATGAAGAATTAGGACTATAGATCAATAAATGAATTTGATCATTCAGGAGTATAGAGAGAAAATTATATAATTGAAAGTCTACATTAAGATAAATTTAAACCTTGTGACGTACTTTTTCTTGTTTAACAGTTAAAATAAAAAAAATAGTTTGAACTGAGATTTAGACCAAAAAAAGCAGAGTACTGAAATATAATGAACACTACAAATGACCTGCCATATCATGTGACTAGGAAAGTAAATTATAAGAGAATACATTTCCTTGCTTGTATCTTTTGTTTTCTTTAAATTCTGTAATGAATTCTTTCACTCTCTTACCCTTTAAGATAATGATGAGTCCTGATTTTCATGCCAATTATTTTGTTTTGTGCAAATTTTTAAACATACTTTGAATTTTTTTCCTGAGGTAATTGACACTGGAATAAAGCAGATCAGACCCACAACTCTGAGGCATGTTACCACTTCCTTTCTTCCTTCCAAAGCACCAGAAGTTCATTAATAAACATTCTGTGGATACTGTTGTACAACCAATTAAGAATCATAGTCAGTCACACTTTGTCACCCTGTTCACAGTAAGAAACTTGTCAGATGTCCTGTTGCAGTCAGGATTTCCCACGTCTGCAGCCTTCCTATCTGTAATATAGCTGACTGGTTTTATTTGGTGCAGAAATTCTGCCTTCTCCATGGCAAACTTCTCAAAGGCAGACATTTTTTTTTACCTTATTTGTTTTGTATTACTCGTGGCTAACAGGTTAGACAGCTATGTGAGTGGTAGATGTGCAATACAAGTTGGCTGCAGAGAGCTCATGAGTGAGTTAGTAGTCAGTATACAAGAGGGATATAAGATTAGCTATTCTAACTTGTCCATATTAAGTCCACGGTGGCCACTAAGATCTCCTCTGGAGTCATTTTTAAATTAAAATTTTAAGTTGACATTAAATGAATTGAATGTATCCTGTATTCAAAGATGAGAAAAAAGTGTCATAATTATGCTGATTGGCTTGATTTTAGATTTTTCAATTTCTTATCACTTCCCATTCCCATTTTCCTTGGTGGCCATTTCATCCTTTAGCATTAAAATAGCTTTCTCTCTCAAAACTATGTGTTGTGTTTTGTAAAGTAAATGCTTTAGTTTCTTAAGGAAATGTTATTTTAAAAATCAGTAATCACAAACTTTAAAACATATTTTTTGTTGTGTTAGTATTTGACGATTATATGTAAGGTATGTAATAGTGTTTAGAAGAATTCTAGTTCTAGATCTTTAATTTTGCAAACTTCAAGAAGAAGCCTATAATCATATTCTTCAAAATATTTGTCTAGCCTACTGATTTGTGACATGTTGGAGTTGTATAAGAAATGTGTGCTTATTAAGATGTAATATAATTTAATGTATATGTCAATATCAATTAATTGTTTTTTATTAACACAGATATGGATATGTATGTGCCACAAAAATTATGAAATTGAGAAAAATACTTGAAAAAGTAGAGGCTGCATCAGGATTTACCTCTGAAGAAAAAGGTGACTATCTTAATTTGTAGTATATGCATGAAAAAGAAATAACTTGAAAGCATATTCATACGCCAGATTATTAGCTGAAGTGTGTGTCAGTGTAGTTTTGGGGTTTTATTTTTTATTTTAAATTAGAAATTTCTTTTGGTGTAATGCACAGTTTTCTTTCCTTTTTGCAAATTCTTCTTCTTTTCTAAAAGTGATTGTTGATGTGAAGTAATGAACCCCTTTAGGAAGCTGGCTGGTTCTAGTATATTAAATGCTGACATAAAATACAAAGTTCTTTGTTTCTGTTTCTGTGGTGTAGGGATGTACCACTTTGTTTTTCTTGTTTTCTTATAAAAAAGGGAGTTAGAAACTGATGGCTAAGATTAAGTTTATAATCAGAGAACAATGTTTTAACTCTTCATAGTCAGTGGACTTACTCAAAGATTTATGACTGATTTTGACCTTGTTAGCAGTATACATACTTATAAAACCCAGTGTGATGTGTAGAGGCTTGATCATTATTGAAACAGCAAGAATAAATGGCGTACCTCAGATTTTCTCCACTTATCTTAAACTGCCCAAAATATATTAAAATAATTTTGCAATGTGTGAATTTTTATGCCCATTCAAATGCAATAAGGGTATAATAAAATTTAAACATAATGCTTTATCATAACCTATAAATATCCTTTGTGTTTTTCCTTTGTCAGGAAAATTTGAAAACTATGCTTTTAATAGAAATAATATTGAGCAAATGAAATTGAATTCAGTATAGAAATATAACTTCTAAATTTTAAAAATAGAATTATTTCAAAATTTTGTCTGTGACTCAATTTTTTTATTTTCTCCTAGATCCTGAAGAGTTCTTGAATATCCTGTTTCATCATATTTTAAGAGTAGAACCATTATTAAAAATAAGGTAACTTTTAAATTGTTATAGAAGCATTGGAAAAATAGACAGTCCTCATTTCCAATGCCATCATTCAGTAGAAATGATTTTCTTAGTAATTACTTAATACTCTGGTTCTTAATAGTCTAGGTGAATATAATGCAAATTTTGCTCATTTTCTTGTCCATAGTACCATACTTTACTTGAAGCACATATCCAATGTAAATGTGTACTTTTGATTTTAACCGTAGTAATAAGTATTATTGCAAATCATTTTCTCATGACACTATATATAAATCTTTTTAAAATTTCAAATTAATGAACCTTTTAAGAGAATCTCTTTATAACTTAATCGAGCAGTTTAAGAACACTGTTTTGTCTACTGATCACTCAAATAATTAATTTAACCTTAAATTTGCTCTCTTGTTCTTAGTTATGTAACTTGGTCTCCTCCCTACCAGCCTCTCATGTTGAATGGAAGCTTTGGATTTAATGCAGTGAAGTTCTCAGTGAAATGTTCTAAATGCCCGATAGTTGAAAATCTTGGTAGTAATATACTATATGTTCCCTAAAAGCTAATTATGGGCAACTACTCCTATTCATCTCTGCGTCTTAAGTGATGCTGTTTGATACCAGTTTTGAGTTGATGGCTGAGGAGGAGTAAGGAAAGGGTGGACAGTGCCACAATTATGGTATGATTTTGTTTAGGAAGTTCTGACTAATGAAATGAGACATAATATATAAACATCAAGAGCTCATATTTAATATCTATTTAAAGAGAGTAATAGCTGTATGTATACCTAGAAATTCTTCAGAGAATTTTTTAGAAGCTAATTAACAAAAGAATTCATAATTTGACTTTGTAAAATAATCATGAAGAAATCAATAGCATTTCTGTATACCTTCAAATAGATGTAAAAAATAATTTCATACTTCATGAAAATATGCAATACCAATAAATCAATTTTATTGAGATATATTTTTAAAAAGACTTATACAGAGCTAAAAAGGGATTTAATTAGTTTGTGAGAAAGATTTTTTTGCAACTCAGGAAAGTGATTTCAGAATTGTCTACAATATGAAGTGGGTAAAAATATTGGAGAATTCTTTAAAAAAAGAATTCTATTATAAGCTATAAAGGCAAAGCAATAGACATTGAAAGCATGAGTGCTACTGGCATAAAATTAGAAATATGAATAAACAAAACTGACTAGGAAACACAGAAATAGAATTAACTATATGTAGTATTTCAGGGTCTTATAAGTTAGCTTTCAAAATAGCAAAGGATATGTTTAATACATGATGTAGGAAATCTAGCAGGCACTTTGGGAGAAATAAAGTCAATTTTGTTTTTTATCTTAAAGAGATAAATTCCAGATGCTTAAAACAGTTGTTTTCATCCTTTCTCCCCTCCCTTTTTAGCCCACATACCTGAGAGATGTAATACACTTTCAGTAATAATGTAGATTGAATACTGCAGTGATCCTTCAAGTAGGGTGGGAGGACTCAAGACATCTTGGAATACAACCTAGAGTCTGAAGACCTTGCAGAGTTTGAATGGGCCCTAGGAAGCTCTCACACTCCCCAAACGGTACACTGTCCCTCTGCACCTCCTCCCAGCAACTTCTTAATATTGAGAATCACTGATTTTAAAAACATATTGTAAGATGGCTATTTTTTTCAAGGTTTATTCTTTCCCTTTACTAGTCTTTCTTTTGGACTAAGGGAGAGTCAGCTGATACAAGTAGTAGGATGATTGCCTTAAAAATCTGAAATAATAAAACAGTCTAAATGAGACTATATTCTTAAATGATTGAAGAGGCAAGAGAAGGAATAGATACCAATGGAAGACAATGACAAAGATAACAAAACAAAATAAGCAAAAATAGAATTTCCAGAAATAGAAAATATATCACGATGGGTGGGAGGAGTTACCTCACTGAATGTAGTATGCACAGCTGAAGAGAGAATTGGTTATTTGGAAGATAGAGCTGAAGAAAATATCCAGAATGTTGTCCAAATGAATAAAAAGTTAGAAAATAAGAAAGAGAAGAAACATGGAAGATAGATTCCAATTGAAGTTCCAGAAGGAGGTACTAGAGACTATAGAGAAAAAACAATACTTCAAGAGATAATAGCTGAATAATTAAATTCTAAGAATAAAGATGTTCAGAATTTCTGAGTAAGAAGAACCAGAACTAAATTGCTGTTCAGAGACTTATTATAGGTTATACTTTAGTAAAACAAAACCGAGTTTAGAATAAAGGAGTGGGATGCAATAAACAAAGAGAATAATGAAATTGGTAAATTTGGGTAAATTCAACCTTTACATTTAAAAAACAATAACAATGGCAATAATAATAGTGACTGATTGTATGTGCAGTGTTAAAGATATAATGCCAAATTATAAAGAACTTTAGTTACTATCCATTATTGTCTGTGCCACAAAGGAGATAGACCCAAATTATATACATCTGTGACTGCTTTTGTCTTCTCTGTAATGTTCATTTCATTTTATTTTAAAGTTAACACATTTGTAACCTTTTGCCTTTAGATTTTCTTAATGGAAAACTACAATCTAAACTGCACAGTTCTGTACAATAGCACCAACTTTGTTGTGATTCTCTAGGATTTTATCCTTCTAGAACTTCAGTGATGAAGTTCAAGTGATTGTTGTTCCTCTCTCCCATTCTTTTGCCCCAGTATCACAAAGTTGTTGTCTTCTCCATCCTCATTTCTGGCTCCTTTCTCTCAGTGTTTGCAACTCAGTGTTCCGTCCAACCACCATCCTTCCCCCTGACGCCATTATTATTTCTACCTGTTGCCACTACTAACCTTGACTACTTTCTGCTTTCTTCATTTCCTATCTTAGTTTTTTTGTGTTACCAATTAGTTTTCTGTGCTATGTGGCTTTCACAGAAAAATTTTAGTCTTTTGTAGTCATCAACAACCAATTAAAATATTTTTATAGGCAACCCCTTCGGGTCCGCTCCCACTGTGGGAACCTCTCTGTCTTCTCAATAAATCCTGCTTTCATATATATAAATATATATATATATTTATAGCATAACCTCCAGGCTTTTTTGGTTATCATCTGTTTTTATTTGTTGTGCATTCCCAACTCCTGTCTTGTTACCAAATAAGTTTTGTTTATTTTGGGATGTAAGCTACTTTGAGAAGCTAAGGATTTCTTCAGGCTGGTCTCTGAGTAACTGTGGTTTCCCTATGAAAACTCTGTTTATATTTTCCCTAAGAATCTTGAAATCTAAATATATACAGGTCTAGACATAAACAACGTGATTCTATATCCAGAAATTCCGCTAAAAAGGCAAATAGTAGACTTAAAAATTATTAATCTTTTTGTTCAAGTTAGTCTTGAAGATAAATGGCATTCTGTAGTAAAATATTTAGAAGGAAAAATGTTCAATCTAAGGGTAATACTGTGATTGGCATCTAGTAGACATTTGCTTGGTATTTGTTAAGTGAGTGAGTGACCCTCTAGAGAGATGACATGCTTGAGTAGAAGAAACAGCAAGCAGCTGTTAGCCCCTTGGCTCTACACCTAGCTCTGCTTTTGACTTGCTGGAAGTCATTATCCTTCCCTAGATCTCAGGGCCTTCATTTTCAATTGATTGATTGATTGATTGATTGGGTTGATGGTCTCACTTTGTAGCCCAGGCTGGAGTGCAGCAACACTGCCATGGCTCACAGCAGCCTCTAACTCCTGGGCTCAGGTGATCTTTCTGCCTTAGCCTCCCAAAGTGCTGGGACTACAGGTATGTGTCACCACCCCCAGCTGATTTTTACATATTTTCTTTTTGTAGAGATGAGGTCTCTCTATGTTGCCTAGGCTGGTCTCAAACTCCTGGGCTCAAGCAATCCTCCCGTCTTGGCCTCCCAAAGTGCTGGGATTTCAGGTGTGAGCCACTGTACCTGGCTGGGGGCAGGGAGTGGGGCTTCATTTTAGAAATGAAAAGTTTGGTCTAGAAGATCTTTTAAGGGTCTGTCATTTTCAGGCATAGGAGAATTTATTTTCAAGTTCCACAGTGAAGTTGAACTAAGTGATTTGAGCTTCTGGTTAATATTGTTGACACAGGGCTTCTTGATTGGGGTTATTATTCTATTATTTTTCTCCTGATCACTGAGACACCTTTAAAGTATGAAAACTAAAATAAGAAATCATTTATAAGGTCTTGTGCATGGGCACATTCAATTATCTTATCTAAATTGTTGTATTTTTTTGTTCTGACTGTCCAAAGTTGTACCATCAATTTTATGGTTTTTCTATCTTCAAATATTGCTGGAACAACTTCACATTTTGACTTAAGCATTTAATAAATAAATTATATAAGTTTTTTCTGCATGCTTTTAGGTCAGCAGGTCAAAAAGTACAAGATTGTTACTTCTATCAAATTTTTATGGAAAAAAATGAGAAAGTTGGAGTTCCTACAATTCAGCAGTTGTTAGAATGGTCTTTTATCAACAGTAACCTGAAATTTGCAGAGGTTAGTGTTACTGTATATTACATGAAAGTCCTTAGAATTTTTAAGACTCTTGATAGATTCAGTATCTATTGATTTTTAACCAGCTGATAATAGTTTGAAACACTGTTAAGAAAACACAATTTTTAAAAAAGTGTACAGTGTTTTGACCTTGTCCTTATAGAAAATACCTTAGAATTAAAGATGAACTTTTTTGAATTTTTGGTGCCAAAGCAAACACCAAACTAATTTGTAACTTGAAAACTTTTAAGTAGTTTAAAGCAAAATAAAGATTTAAATTTTTTTAAAAATTGTCATTTTCCCCAAGCATATTATCCAAATATCTCAGAAGACAATGTTTAGTTTTCCTCCTTAATTAAGAGGCAAAATGTCAACAAACTCGTTTATATTGGTTTGTTACTGATCAAGTGATAGAAATCATTTTTCTTACATTTTTTTCTAAGAGATGGGCTCTCGCTATGTTGCCCAGGCTGGTCTTGAACTCCCAGCCTCAAGCGATGCCCCCGCCTCAGCCTCCCAAAGTGCTGGAATTGTATCATGAATATCTTCATGATTTTGGTGGGACCAGCTTATGATGTACTTTTATTGCACTCATTTCTAAACGAATGTTTTGTTTAAACCTTAATAGCCAGAGAGTTGTTTGTTGAAATATAAGGAATAGTATCCTTCTGTGATGACAGTTTCTGTATTATATTTGCAAAAACAATTTCTCAAAATATTTATTAAATATAAACCCCAAATAAAATGCTACTCTCAATAGTTGTATTATTTGAGACCCAAACTTGTTGAATTCCGTGAACCCTAGATATTGGTGTTGCTGTGGAATCATGGCCCACTTGAAAACTTGTGGCTTGTGGTGCTCTGGTCCACATTCCACATTCACGTGTGGGTCCTGTTTTACAGGCCACCAATATTATGGCAGAAATAACTGTTTGGTTTGACAGCCATGACTATTTTGGTTTCATAGAAAATTTTTTTTTCCAGCACTTTGATTCTAAAAATATATATCTTTTTTTATAGGCACCATCATGTCTGATTATTCAGATGCCTCGATTTGGAAAAGACTTTAAACTATTTAAAAAAATTTTTCCTTCTCTGGAATTAAATATAACAGATTTACTTGAAGACAGTAAGTATACAATTTTTTAGTTTGTTTTCTTGGTTTTTTTTTAGAAATAATCTGTCAGATCATTTCCATTAGTTGTGAGTAAGAGTCTTACTGGACTCAATACTTCCAGGAGGCAGTTCAGTGTCTGAGGAGCTTGGAAATATTAAACTAGTAATGTTAGTTCTAGGAATTTATTCTGAGAAGATAATCAAAGATGAAAATAAATATTTTATATGCAAATATGCTTATTGTTACATGATTTTGAAATTAGAAACAACCTAAATGTTAATAAGAGGGGCGTAGTTAAATGAGCTGTCTAGTTGTACAATGAAACTACTGCCATTAAAAGTCATGGTTGTAGCCGGACTCGGTAGTTCGGCCTGTAATCCCACGCCTTTGGGAGGCTGAGGGGAGTGGATTGCCTGAGCCCGCGGGTTCGAGACCCGCCTGGGCAGCAAGACCTCATCTTTACAATAAATCAAAAAATCAGCCAGGCATGGTAGCACGCGCCTGTAATTCCGGCTACTCGGAAGGCTGAGGTGGAAGAATCGCCAGAGCCCAGCAGGTCAAGCTGTGGTGGCCGGGAGCGGCCACTGCACTCCAGTCTGGGTGACAGAGTGAGACTCCAACTCAAAAAAAAAAAAAAGTCATGGTTGTGAAGATCAGTGTGTATGAAAATGGTCATGGTCATGATGCAGTATTAAGGGAAAAGGTAAGTACATTGATAGGTTCTACAAGAGGGACTATTTACATAGTACACACACACACACACACACACACACACACACACACAGTTGTGTAAATATTCACAATATTCACAATCATATTAACAGTGGTTATTGCACTGAAATTGTAGATTCTTTTAGTTTTCTTTTTTGTACTTTTTTATATCTTTCCATTTTTATAATGGGCATTTTGTAATTAGGGGAAAACACCTTATAATATGCTATTTTTAAAAATTGTTATTTGGTTAGAGAAAATGTCTTTAAAGATATTTAGAATCCAAGCAGATCCAACTTGAAGTTTAAGAGAATAGGAAAGGGATACTTTTTTGAAACCATGAACATTATCCTATTTTTTTTTTTTAATAAGTTGGAGTTTCACTCCGTTGTCCAGGCTGGAGTGCAGTGGCATGCTCACGGCCACCCCAGCATCGACCTGCTGGATTCTGGCAATCCTTCCACCTCAGCCTTCCAAGTAACCAGAACTACAGTCATGCGCTACTATGCCCAGCTAATTTTTTTTTTCTTGTAGAGATGAGGACTTGCCAAGTTGCCTGGGCTGGTCTTGAACCCGCGGCCTCAGGCAATCCACTTATCTCGGCCTTCCAAAGTTCTGGGATTACAGGCTGAGCCACTGAGCCTGGCCAACATGATCCTTTTAAAGCATAACTTTTCTTGTATTCATCTTAATAAACAAGTGTGCGTTTTTTAAAGGCCCGGAATGCCCCTCTGCTCCCCATTTTCAGCTCCTAGGCAGTGCCGGATATGTGGAGGGCTTGCCATGTATGAATGTAGAGAATGCTATGATGATCCAGATATCTCAGTGGGAAAGATCAAGCAGTTCTGTAAAACCTGCAATGCCCAAGTAAGTTTCCCATCACCTAATGAATGATTTCTTGTTGCACAGTAACTTATTTGTAGTAGAAAACAGATGACAGGTTTTGAAAAGTCTTTTAAAATCATAGTAATTAAAATTTAAAAATTCACAAGAAGATGGTATTATTTACGCCTCTTCTAACTGTTTACTTGATAACTGTCTATGAAGTATTTGCTTGCTATTTATAACAGATGTATTCAATAAGACTAAGTGGAGTCCCTTCACTTGATACCTTGAGTTTAGCTCATTAATGACATTTTTATCATGGTCCATTTTAGGTCCACCTTCATCCCAAGAGGTTAAACCATAAGTACAACCCAGTGTCACTTCCTAAAGACTTACCTGATTGGGACTGGAGACATGGCTGCATCCCTTGCCAGAAGATGGAGTTATTTGCTGTTCTCTGCATAGAAACAAGCCACTATGTTGCTTTTGTGAAGTATGGGAAGGATGACTCTGCCTGGCTCTTCTTTGACAGCATGGCTGATAGGGATGGTATTTAAAAACTTTTCTTCTTCATGTGGCTGTGTTTTGGTTTGTAGTGGGAAAGTTCATAGTGGAATCACCCGTTCTGAGTAGTAAGATACTTTGTGAGGAAATCCTTCCAGGATTATTTTCCTTCCAGAATTGAATGCTGTGTGTGTGATATATAATGTGACAGTCTTAAATCTTGAAATGCATTAACAAACTTGCTATCTAAAGCAAGGAATAATATATTATTGTGAAATTTTGACATGTATATGTACTTTGTTAAAAAAAAGTCCTAAAATTCTTTTTTGAGACCTGAGAGGTTTTATTTTATTGTCATTGACTTTTAGGCCCTTTCACTTTTTGCGTAAGCCACAGTGGCCACTTACTGAGCACCTGTACTCCAGGCGCTCTGGAAGTACTTAAGTCATTCTACCTACATCCTGCAAGATGGGAATTCTATCTTTCTCTGTTGGGAGCTGAGGCTTAAGGTGCCTAAGGTCAATAGCTTGTATTTAACTCAGTCTTCCTGGTCTCATTATTTATGTTTTTTACTAAACCATGTTGTCTCCCAAATGACAAAAGCTAGGAACAGAAGTAAATATCCTGTTTAGAAAAGTTAGCCTATTCTGCATTTAATGTGTTTCTTCCTGAAATGGGGAAGATATTCCACTTTGTGGGCCATTTTCTAGGGTGTTTAGTCATTATTTAACAAATACCGAGTGGGTTCCAGGGGCTCTATTGTGTTTCAGGATTGGAATGGTTGTCACAACAGCTACACTGCTTCCTGTGTGGAGTGACAGGCAGGACCAGCCAAGGTTGTGTCTTCTATGCTCCTCTGTTCTTGTTCTTACACTTCATTTTTCCTTTAGCCACTCTCCCAAGCCCAACCCCAGGGTCTTCTGGTGTGGCCCTCTAATAACCCAGGGCACCCTTATTGTCACCCCTTGACTAGAGGCCCAAGCTCTAGACTGGGAGATACTTGAGGGGTACAGCCCCATCTATAGATGTGCCCCTAGTCTAGCTAGCATTTGCGTTTAGCAGCTCAACTCAAAAGCACAGGGATTTCAAACACTTGGAAAAGCCGTCGGGAGCACTAACCAGAAGAGCCTCCCCTGGAATCTCTGAAACCACACCCCAGAGTCTGAGGACATGTAAAACAACTGAAAGTTGTGGAAGACTGTTGTAAAAATGTAGGGAGACGTCATAGTGTTCATTTAATTAGATCTGCTCTGAACTGGATGATCTCCTGGTGTGGTGTGCAGGGCTGCTTGTGTCCGGGAGGGACATGGGGAGGTGAAGAATTGAGTGCTGTGTGTGTGACATATAACATTATTCTTTAAGTGAATCCAGAGAGAAGCCTGGAAAGTAGGTTGGGGCTTATGTCAGAAAATGTGTCCTTTCCCCAGTTTTATTCCCAGTTGGCCCTAGAATCCTTTCAGAATCCAAGAAATGAGAAATCTATCCAGAGTTAAAGGCAATTTTAACTTCTAGAAATCAGAAGCAAAATGAGATCTTTTAGATCCTGAAGATTAGCCTTTGCTAAATCATAGGCTTGTACAGTTGTTATGGGGGGCAGACATGAGAGGGTTAGGACTTGATGGCACTAAACAGAGATCTTCTTCTGCCCTAGGTGGTCAGAATGGCTTTAACATTCCTCAAGTTACCCCATGCCCAGAAGTCGGAGAATACTTAAAGATGTCCCTGGAAGACCTGCATTCCTTGGACTCCAGGAGAATCCAAGGCTGTGCACGAAGACTTCTCTGTGATGCATACATGTGCATGTACCAGAGTCCAACGATGAGTTTGTACAAATAACTGGGCTTCTCCGGAGAGGTGAAGAGACTGAAGGCGGAGATTCAAGGTTGTGTTTCATCCAAGCTGATGGTTCTGTTCAGCGTCCATTGCCGGCAATGGATGTCTTTGTGGTGATGATCCTTCAGAAAAGGATTCCTGTGTTTAAAAATAAATTACTTTTTGTGTTACTGAAGTATTTAATAAGAAGCATTTTGCATTCTAGAAAGTATGTTTGTGTTGGTTTTTTAAGAAGTCTAAATGAAGTTATTAATACCTGAAGCTTCAAGTTAAGTGCATTGATCATATGATATTTTTGGAAGCATAAAATTTTAATTGTGAAAAATTTAAGACCTCTTTTAGTCCATTGAGAATGTAAATAAATGTGTCTTCTTTATGGACCAAGGATATGAAATCATTTTTCCTCTGTAGCTAATGGTTGCCTTGAGGAAGAAATAATTTGGTTTTAATAAGAGTCTACTTTTAGTCCAATTATTAAAGGTGTACTGAGTTTGATTTGTTAATTCTTTCCTATATAGTGCTGATTCCTGCATGTCTGCAATCTGCTGAGTTTCTGTGTATCTGCAGTAATGGTCAGAAAAATACTTAAATTTCCTTAACGGTATTGTTTTCTATTTGTTCTGGTTTTGAGGTAAATGAGTAATTCTGTCCTAAAATGTCCATTTTTGATGTAATTTTCCCTGAGGGTTAGGCTGTTCAGCAATTGAGGCTCTTCATTCATGGTAGCAACTGTCAGCTAACAGGTTTTGTTTAAAGGCTCTTTAACTCTTTGATGGAATGGGGCATGGTCAATTTATGAAAGGATTAGAGTGATAAATCAATAATATATATATGCATATATAGTCCATAAGAAAATAAATTTGGCTTATAGAATGACTTATTACAATGTCCCTGAAGAGATCCTATATTATTTTATATAAGATTGTCCAGAACTTAAGTTTGATCTGTCAGCCAGTATTCTCACTAAATTCAGTTTGGTTTCACTTGGGAATTGAATCTTTTATTGAAATATTAGTAGCAGCATCATCCTTCTTCTGATAAGTAGGTAGAAATTGGATGTCTTCTTAAGTAATATCCATAGTGTGTGTATAGACCACAGTGGATATTGTAGGCTAGAACCATAGATTATAAATGTCAGTGCTGTGGAATGTGTATCTTCTGTGTGTTGTTCTGTGGCATTGTTGTCTTTCTGGAATGACTTCCTAACCATGCAGAAAGGCAGAAGAGTTGTCATATGTATATAGCATATGACTTTATAAAATATTTAATGTGAGAAAATATGGAAAGAATCTTGACAAACCCTGCAATTATTTTTTTAAGTGTACTTTTACTCTTTGGTTTTATTATTCCATTTTGCTAATATTTATTAGCTTTATAAATCATAATAAGGTACAAAAACTTTCATCTTGTAATTTTTTTCATTTTTGAAATGAAAAAGTACATGCATTTTGCACTAAGTGCTTATTAAGCTGGGGAGGCAAGATGATTATTAGATTGAGGTGAGGCCGTGGAGCCCTGGGCTGCAGGGTGGGCCCTGCCTCTATCTCCTTGGGTCAAATGAGGGGCATGGGATGCAAGACCTGTGAGGTCTCTTCCAGCTCTGAGCCTGTGCACTTCTAGTCACCCTGTAGTAAATACATGTTGAATGAAGAAATGGGTGAATGAGGTTGCCAGTGTGATTTTAAAAGAGACCTGAAGGAATGATAAGGAATCAATAGAGAGATGGCCCTGGTATCCACAGGTTCCTCATCTGTGGATTCAACCAACTTTGAGTCAAAAATATATTTTTTTAAAAAGTTGCATCTGTATTGAACATGTACAGAATTTTTTCTTGTCATTCTCTAAACAATACAGTATAGCAACTATTTGCATAGCATTTACCTTGTAATAGGTATCATAAGTCATCTGCAGATGACTCAAAGTGTACAGGAGGGTGTTGGTAGACTATAAGCAAATAATAACACCATTTTATATCAGAAACTTGAACATCCACACAGATTTTGGTGTCTGCAGGGATCCTGGAAGCAATCCCCTATGGATACTGAGGGATAACTATGTAGGTAAGACTGGATTTGAGAGAGAGAGAGAGAGACAAACAGAGACAGAGACACAGAGAGAGAGGAGAAAGAGAAAGTCAGAGTGCAAAGTACAATTTGAGGGAGCACTATCCTGCCCAGACTGTAGAGGATTGAAGACTTGTTGTTTGCTTGCGTGCCTGGTTTCAAAGCTCGGGATCTGGAGGCAATTTTAACTGGGAGGGGCCTCATCCATCAATGATTTCTGATGACATTTTCTTCAGATGGAGCTTTATGTCCTTGGGGAGGGAGCACTAAGGAAAGAGATGCTAGGGGCCAGCTCTGGTGGTTCCCAGGGAGCTTCCCTTGCCGCTGGAACCCTAAGGCCTGCAGGGACAGCTTCCCCCCATGTCTGCTCTGGTTCTCTCTGAGTCATCCCTCCTTGTTTATTCTTCCATTTGAGCCTGGTTTGTCAGGTAGGGCATAATCCAGGCTGAGTTGCATGGCACAGGGGCCAATGTGCCTATTGATTTATTTAATTTTTAGCCTTACGTTCTCTTTAATATTTTCCTGTTGGCTTTTTAAATGTTTTGATATTCTTTGTTTCTTATCATGTCTACAATCAAGATGACAATATAATGGAATCAACTTCTTTAGAACATAGTTCGTGATTGGTAGCTACAAGTAGACAATGTAACAAGTCATGTTCCCCACCTCCAAATTAGTACTGTGTGTGATGGGGGAGGAGGAGGGAAAGGGAAGGAGGGAAGGAGAGCGAGGCTGAATGTGTCAGGCCCTCACTATCAGCTTTATAAAGGAGTTTGACTACATCCACAAAAGAATGTTCAGTTAGATTGGAAAAACACATTGACACCTAAGAGAAACAGTAACAAAAATCAATTTAATATAGTTACAGTTGCTAAGGATTTTCTCCTTAGAACAGCTTAAGATTTTTAAATTTTTATTTGCCAAATGCTGTAGATAAATGTCCAAGTTCTTACTATCCCTGGGATCCATTTATTTTTCACATAATCGGAGAACAAGGGGAAGATATAGCAATTAACCTTATGGAACGCGTATTGTCATCCAAATTCCTGGTTGTTTGAACATGGCATCTTCATAAATTCTGGAGTCACCAACCCCCATAGCTGGATCTTGAAAGTTTTCTAGCTAGATAATTTTGCATCTAGTCAGATGATCTTAGACCAACCTGTGAGTGGAGGATAACGTATCAGGCCTTGGCTGAGTGACTGCCAACCAAGAAGTATTTCTTGGACATGTATTAGGCTCCTTGGATTGTGTCAGAGGGAATATGGGACTTGGTCTCTGCCCCACATAATATCAACTACAGAACGTAGCTGAAGTGCAGGGGTAACAGGGCTGGGGAAGCTTTGGGAGGCAGTGTGGTGGAACATAAAAAGTCATGGACCGAGGATGCGAGACCTGGGTGCTAGCCCCTTTTCTGTCACTTGCTCTGTAGCCTTAGACAATCTTGACTTTCATGAGGGGTTGGACTTATGTATTTTTTCTTTAGGAAGAAAACTAAAACAAAACCACGTTCCTGGGTCCTAGGCTATGACTGCTGAGTTTGACTCTTTGTGAAGAAGGCCTAGGAATTCTGTCAGTAAAAAGCTCACCAGGTAAAAGTGACCGGTCAGGTTGGAAATCCACTCACTGGAAGATCTCAAAGGTCCCTTCTCTTTTTTGATTGTGTGATCATATAATGTTATTGTATCAGTTATTCTACATAAATGTGGGTACTTATGTTTGTCATATTGTTCATCTGTGTTTACATATGCATTTATATAAGAAATGCATTTTAGTGTACATACCTCAACCTGCTGTTCCCAAGGGTTTTAATAGTCTGCAGAACACAAATAAGTCATAAGAGGATATTTGATGGATATTTTCCTTTCATTTTATTTACTTAGGGAAAATTGAGGTTCCGAGAGCCAAAGAAATAGAAAAAACAAAATTCTCATGTAAAATTAAAGAAAAAATGACAGTATTTCTTACTATTTGCTGCTTTATGATGAAAATTTTAAAATCATATTGGAAGATTTTTCTCTGATCATAAAGTAAGATGTCCTTGTAAAAGTAGGTGGGCCATAAGGTCTGTGATTAAAAATAATACCACTTTCTCTAGGTGGTGGTGATATGAGTAACACACCCACAATTCTCCATCGGTGGAAAGAGCACTTGACTTCCCCAGGCGAGCGGGCGGTGGGGGAGTAGGGGGGTGTCGACACGGACACTCATGTGCAGCAGAGGGGCTGGGGAGGCACACAGGTGTGACCCTGGAAATAGATGTGCGGGGCCCTGTGAAGACAGGTTTCTGTGGTCTCCAGAGTGTCCCTCTTGTTGAGGACGAGGACTTTAGGGAGGGAGGCTTCCTGCAGGGAGTCGACTGCACCACACTCTGCTGTCCTTTCATATGTCATACTGGGGACAAGAGGCCGGAGGCCAGGAAAGGACTGTCCATCCTGTTTTCAGTCCTGAGCAGCGGAAGGGTTTCTCTCGAGTCAGAAAGCCGTGGCAGAAGGTTAACCAGCAGATGTCCCCGAGGATTGTGAAAAGGTGGGAGAGAAAGGTATTCCTCCTTCCCGACCATGGGAAACATGACCTTGTTAGCCAAGTTACTTGAGGACTCCATCTGATTGGGGGCCCTTTGGCTTGGCAATGGCATTTTGGTTTCACCATGTTTTAAAGTCTTCATTCTTCCTATGACTTGCATCAGGAGAAGGGTCAGTCATGGAGGGGTGGTCCTTTCAAGCACCACGGCTTCAGATCCAATCCTCTCATACTTTGAGATACTGTCCTCTTCCACTTTGTGTGTATTCTGGAGGGATTATGTTGGAGACTCAACCGCCTTGGGTGTTATTTCACAAAATGGCCTAGTACTGTGGAATTTTAACTTCAGACAGGCTTAGCATCATATCATACACATTCATTAAAAAAAAATTCATTTGAAGCTTCCCAGGGAAGTTGTGGTTATTAGACTGGTATCAAGGAGCATATTTTGTACTGCTTTCCCATTTCTGGTATCTTGTTCAACATTTTTAGATTTTTTTGCCTGAACAACATCCTATATTTATGACAACATTCTTTAAGAATAACACGACATAAAATATCCCTTTACTATCAGATTGTTCTGATTTAGCCTTAATTTTGTTAAATTTTTTAGAGATGAATGAAGTGCTGCTGTGGAAAGAAATGTACTATATATTATTACTGTACCATTAAAATTAAATTTTTATGGTTCCTTTTCTTTGATTTCTTTGGGGAAAGGTCTTGGGCTATGGGAATGCTGAACTTGGGACTCTACAACTCCTTACATTCTTGCTGTGGTGCCAGGAAAGAAGGTTCCTTTGAGAAAATGCTTCACCTGGGCACTCCTGCCATCCTCAACCCACACACGTTCCCTGTTCTGGGAGATGTGTCCATGGCATCCTGATTCTGTGGTTTCTTGATCTAACTTGGCATTTCCAGCCTCTGGTCCTAACTGAAGCTTGGTTCTGCCAGCCTCGAGCCAACTAGAAGTTGTCCCAGGGCTCTGTCTCATCTGTAAACACCAGCACAGAGCTGTGCATTACAAGAAGCACGTCCTATTCCACCTCGGCCGCCAAGGAGGCAGCTAAATGTTTTCTGCAACATCCAGAGGAGTGATTACATGTTTCATGAACTGAAAGGTTTACTTCGATCTTTTAGGCAATAGATAAATCTTCCACAGAAATGATTTGGAGCTTAAGTCACTGACTGTGTCAAGGTAGGAAAGCTAGCATGGTCTGAGTCGGTAACACTGGCGTTCCTAGTACACTCAAGGATGTTTCTGTTTCAAAGACCCATGACGGAGTGAGCACACGGATACTAAAGCAGTGCTATTCTGACATCACTCTAATTTTCCTTGTCAGATCCAAGGATTCACATACTTTTTCATAGTTCCCACTCTTCTGACTCTTTTTGGGTATATTAATGTGACAGTGATAGTTTGTGGATTTGTGCCCATCTGCAGATCTGACAAGTAGGTCCTTGTCAGAAGAGAGCTAACCTGGCCGAATGAGCAACCACTGGCCCTAGATGAAACCTCCTTTCCTGGGGTCTGGCTTGCTGCTTTTCCTGACTCAATAAGGCACACTGTCCCTCACTATAACCTAAAGAAGGTGGGTGCACTGCTCAGAGCAGTGGCTCTCAATCCTGGTTGCATGCTGAACTCACGTAGGGAAATTTTAAAGATTAAAACAAAAATTTGTTTTAGAAACGGTCTTGCTATGTTGCCTAGGCTGTTCTTGACTCCTGGCCTTAAGCAATCCTCTAGCCTTGGCCTCCCAAAGTGCTGGGATTACAGGTATGAACCACTCTGCCCGGGCTAAGGCTTTAAAGATGCTAGTGTGTGTGCCCACCTTGACCTAGGGCATTCTCTGGAGATGGGGCCAGGCAATTGGTATTTGTTAAAGCTCCTTACAAGCTCATTCCCCATGCAGCAGGACTGGGAACCACTTGCCAGGAGGAATGGAGTTTTCTGGGGGAGACGGAGTCAACTCGTCATTCCCAGGTGAGACTTTCTGCTCTGGTAAAAGGCAGAAGATTGTGGATGTGGACAAGTGCCAAAGGGAAAGTAGAAGAAGTAAAGCTGCTGACCCAGCCCCTGAGGAGGAGCCTGGGATATGTGGTGGGCATGCTCTGGGGTGGAGAAGGGTTGGGAGCGGGAGGAGAATTCCACTATTGAAGGAGGATGTAGAGGCCTCCTTCCTGTGGCCTGGTAAAGGTGCTATTCTCCCAGTTCAGGAAGTAGTCCAAGGTGCATCTAATTTCAGATGTCATGAACTTTAGATGTCATTGAGCACAAGCCAGCCAGGTTGATGAGGAGGCAGGTGGGAGAGCCCGGAGGATGGGGCTGTCAAGCACCTCAGAGCCCCTTCTTGCACTGAGCTGTGGCCAGTTCCAACGGGGGTTGGCCTTGGGAACCTGTTTTCAGGGCTGAACTGTTTTGCCAAGGGGTTGTTTCTGAGGTCTCATTAGAGTAGTTGGGTGCATGATGACTAAGCTGGAGATCATAAGAACAGGCAGCTCACCCAGCATTCTGCAGAATGACCCTCGCCGTAGAAGTGCAACTGAAATTTGCAATTTGTGCCCACCCTTGACCTTACCACTTTCCTAGAATTTATGAAAATTCTTAAATTTCATCTACTCCATCATCACCTTACACATGACACCCACGTCTTTTGTAAACACTGTCTTTTCCAAAGTAAGCTGTTTGAAGTTCCACTGGGATCTGAAGAATTGCGAGGAGGTTGACCTTGCCAGGGCTGCCTTCTGAGTTCCCTCTGTCCCTTCCCAGCTTTGAGAGATGTTGAAAGTGACCTCTGAGGTCTAACCTTGCGGTTCCTGTTTGGTGGCAGACAGGTCTCAGCAGCCTCCAACCGTGATGCGTGGCTTCTCAGCCGTGTCTTCTCATGACTGGGGTGAGGCTGCTTGGCAGATTGCTGCATGGCGGAGCTACAATACTGGAATATATGCCTCATAACAAATACGCGTTTTACTGTAACTGATCATCTCTGTAGACTTAAGGCTGTTGTGCTTAGTTGTGATTGCCAGCTGGGTCCGTGTGGGTGGGATGGGCTGCTGAGGGGGTACAGCTTGAGGCTTCTGTCGAGAGCTCACCTCCTGCAGTCTTGCAAAGCACATCAGCCAGGGATGTGTTTACCAACTGGCTCTCTGGGGGCGAAAAGCCCTGCTCCATAGCCTCTGCCAATTTTGTGGTGTAAAAGTCATCATGACTGACTACAAGCTTTCAAGGAGACATCTTGGAAGGCGGTGTTGGGAAGAGCTTGGTGGTGGGTTTGACACACAGGTGTGTAGCGTTTCCACCGTAGAGCTGTGATCGTCACACATACCTGAGCACAGACCGGGTTGGCAAGCCAGCCTGTGGACCACACCCAGCCCACCACGGTTTGGGCAGACAACATTTTATTGGAAGACACTCATGACTCTCTAAGTATAGGCTGAGTATCTCTCGTCCAGGGGTGTTTCCCATCAGATTTTGTTGGATTTTGGAATATCTGCAACACCAGTTCAGCATCAACCCTAATCTGAAAAGTCAAAGCCTGAAATGCTCCCATGAGTGTTTCCTTGGGGCGTTGTGTTGGAGCTCAAAATGTTCCGGGTTTTGGAGCATTTTCGACTTCACATTTTGGATTAAGAATGACTGTATTACCAACAGCCACGTCTGCCCTACAATGACAGAGTCAGGTGGTTGCGACAGAAACCTTGGGGCCTGCACAGTCTGAGATATTCACCATCTGGCCCATCACAGAAACAGTTTGCTTAGCGTTGGCACAGACACCTGTGAGATGTAAACTGATCAGAAGGTGATGAGTTTTGAGTATTCCCTTTGTTTTAAATATAACTCATTTCGTGATCAGCTTATATAATTTAACTTTAAAAATGGATGTATTTAAGAACTGGCTCCCCAAATTCCTGAAACTTCCACAACTGGCCCTCGGGAGCTGTGGCCCCAGCTCCAGGGTGCCCGATGCCACCTCAGACGCCCCCGTGTGCTCTGCATTTCCTCCACACGCTGACGCCCTCGCCCAGGGGCTTCTCGTGGTCTCTAGAAGCAGGGCTCACTCTGCCCCTTCAGTTCTCTTTTCTCAGCACCTTGGTCAGTGCCCAGCACAAGGTAGGCGCTCAGATATCTGCTGGATGCAAACAGGAAGCTTCAGCCTCTTATTCATAGAAGCTACCCTGTTCACTACTGTCAATGTGGCCAGAATTAGATCATTGTCCCCATCTCTTCCGAGAATGCACAGGAGGTCTCTGTTTCTGTTGCCCACATAATGTTTCCTCTCAGAAGTGGAGACGTCACAGAACTCCCCTCCTAAGGCTTTTGGGAACTTAGAATGGAACCACACATGTGACGTGCTTGTCATGGTGCCCACCTGGCACAGGACAGCTCCCCAGTCAACGGTGGCCACTGTAGCAGCAGCAGCATTAGTGGTAGCATTGTAATCATGACCTTGAGAGATAGGATGCAAGGCTAATCCATATGTTTCTTTCCACCTCTCTTCTCCCGCCACGATCCTAATTTCAGATCATACTAGGAAGTCTTCAGATTGTTTGTAAGATTGAGGTTTGCTTTAGAGTACCACATGCTGTCACTCATAAGTGGACCCTAAAAAATTATCACGAAACTATAAGAAAGGAATTGGTAATAAGGGGGATACTGAAGGGGTGGGTTGGGGGGGACACAACATCAATAAGGACACTTGATCTCAAACCAGACAAAGTGGGGACCAAAGGAAGACCCAAACTTTACCTGTATGATGACCACTTGTATACTTAATCCTGAAATGTACCCCACATCTTTAAAGTAAAAAATTTTTAAAAAGTAGAACTTAAAAAAAAAATTGAGGTTTTCTCAGGCATTCTGTCCCTCTGAGTGCAGCAGCGCCATCTTGTGGTCATCATAGGTCATGACAACGTCCCGGATCTCGGCAGCCAGAGCCCAGGTTTGGAAAGCAGCAGGTGATTTTTGAAAGCAAATGTGGCAGGCAGGGTTACACCCCAGATTACACATTACATCCAGGAGGATCTAAGCTCCCTGTCTTTTCAGGGTAGCCGGTTAGTGTGGGCCATTTCTGTGTCCTTCCTTCCAGTTGGCTCTGTCTCGCTCTTGTTCTGTCTGCGTCTGTCGCTCCGTCCGTCTTGAGCGTCCAGGCTCCATTTACCCACGATATTTAAGATGAGTGAGCGCCATCTACTGGAAGAATGCCGCAAGGTCGGCTGTGGGGTCTGGAATCCGCAAAGAAATCTTGCACTAGTATCTGTAGCTGCATGCGGGGTGAGAAGGCGGGGAGGGAGGGGAGGGCGGGGAAGTGACAGGATCCTGGTGTCATATCCCTCCACGGTGAGCCTTCCTCAGTGCAAGGCTCGTATCTACTGTGCGACCTTCCTGACAGCGTCCTCTGCCAGGGTCCCAGTCTGAAAATCAACCACACTCCCAGGTGTTTCCCAAAGAGGGGGCTTGTCCCGCCTGCATAGGAGTCATCCGGGGAACCTAAGAATGCAAGCTCCACGCAAAGGTGACAGCGCCAAACTCTCAGTGTGCAGCCCTGGAATCTGCGATTTGAATGCTTATCCCTTTTCCTGGGGGCCTATCTCAGTTCCCTCCCAGCTCTGCTTGGGAGGTGGGAAATGGTTCACACGTCTCCACCAACGATTGACCACCTCAGGCCCTTGTCACTTCAAAGAAAGCACACGGCT